ATAAACAGATAGCAATGAGACAGTTTCAAATCAAATCGGAAGTACAGTTTCAACAAATAATACACTGCATATATTCTTCTTAGTGGTTAGAACAGGTATTTTTCATCAAATATTGATATGTTGAACTTTAAGTCCTTACAGAATATGAAGGAAAAATAATTTCAAAAAAGAAATAATCATTTACATATTTTTACAAAGAAATTTAGAAATCTAACCCTATACAGAATTGTAACAAGACAGACCTGTGACATTTTTTTTCTTATTCTTGTACCTTTTTTAAAAAATCTATTTTTAACTTATAAAATAAAACCTATTCTTCGAGAGTGCCATGTCCTAAAAGAGGGCATACTCAGGCGCCAGCCCGTAGAGGCCAACATGGATCCTGTCTGGCCTATTATGCTTACCACTTATTTAGAGTTGCCATCCTCTTGAAAAGCCCCCAATTTTAGGGTTGAGGCTGTGTAGATAGAGCTTAGGCAGAGTCCTCGGGATCTCCAGCTGACTGGTACAGTAGGTGGCGGGTGGATAGAATTTGTAGAGGAATATGGTTCCAGAAAGTGGGAACCTATGTGGTAACAGCAGGAACAGGAAGAAGGCTTGTGGGCCCTTCTGGGTACTGTCACCTCCCTTCAGTGACCAGGGGCTGGGGAGGGGGCGGTGCTGGCTTGAGCTGTGCAGAAATCGGCCCAGGAACATTCTTCTCTGTGCCTTTGTTTTCCTCCCCTGCCTGACCCAGGAAAAGAAGAGCTCACGATTGACACCGCCACGCGGCTTCAGTGAGAATGAGGAGGACGATGAGGATGATGATTCTTCGGAGACTGATTCCTCGGAGGAGGATGAGGAGGAGGAGCATGGGGCCCCCCTGGAAGGGTGAGTGGAGACACAACCTATAAGCCTGGCACCTGAGAGGTGCCAGCCTGGGCTACATAGATGAGCCTCTGCCTCATCCAGTCCTGTTATGTCGCTTAAAATAAGGAAATGTAAAACCAGGTATGGTAGCACACATTTGTAATCTGCACTGTGGGAGGCTGAGGCAGGAAGATCATATGCTTGAGTCTGGCCTGGGCAATTTAGTGAGGCACTGTCTGAAAATAAAGATTCAAAAAAGCCTGGGTATGTAGCTTAGGGCTGAGTTCAATCTCCCGTACCATAAGAAGTAAAAATTTAAAACATACATAAATTATAGTATATTTAATAATAACAGTTGAACAGTTTTCCTAAGTTCACCTTGGAATTTAGTACATCCTTGAGCCAGAGTGTGGTGATGCTCAGGAGGCTGAATCAGGATGGCCCATGAGTTCAGGGCCATCCCAGGCTGTGTAGTGAGTTCAATACCAGCTTGATCTGCATAGTGTGACTCTATCTCAAAAAAAAAAAAAAAACCCACAACATCCTTTACCTTAAATTGGGTTCAGGGGTTCCATATTACCTGTGGTTTTGCTCAGTAAACCTAAAAGGTGGTTCTTCCTTCAGGCTGGGGGCGGGGGTAAGTTTGCATACATAGCAGTGCATCTTTACGTACTGAGGAAGCTACACCTGCTCACAGGAATTTCCACTTCAGGCACGGAGTCACTCCCTGTGGTCTGAGTAGCACACAGGCCGACCTGTGCCTCAGCCAGCTCTGCTCAGATCACCAAGTGGAATGAACCACATTTTCCTTTCACCAGGGCCTACGATCCTGCAGATTATGAGCATTTGCCAGTTTCTGCTGAGATTAAGGAACTCTTCCAGTACATTAGTAGGTGAGAACTAGGACCTCCCAATGTACCCTACCATCCCTGCCTTGCCCCAAACCCTTAGCTTCTCTGGTCTGAAACCAGCCCAGTCTCCTTTGACTATTTTAGCTTGAATAGTCAAGTAACTTTCTCCCACTTTTCCACTGCCTGGTCATTATCTTTAGGTACACACCCCAGCTGATTGACCTGGACCACAAGCTGAAACCATTCATTCCTGATTTTATCCCAGCTGTTGGGGATATTGACGCGTTCCTAAAGGTATAGTCAGTGTATCCTAAAACTGTCTTTAGAAAAGTGGTGGCGAACTTAGAGCATGTGTGCTGCAGCAGAGCCCTCATGTGAGGCAAGTGGCCTGAGCCGCGTAGCATTGGATAACAGTTGTTTATTCTGAACTAAATTCTCAGTATTCGGGTTGAATTGCAATATTGGCACTTTTTTAATAAATAAGTGGGCTTTGGGTTGCAGTTTGGGGTTCTGTCTCTAAAGCGTTCGCCATCACAGTCTTAAGTATTTGTTTTGACCCCTTATTCTAACAAGTCTGCTATTTTTTTTTTTTTTTCCTGTATTTAGGACAGGGTCTACAGGGTCTCACTATGTAGAATGGACTAGTAGTGATTCTCCTGTTTTCAGCCTCCCAAGCGCTGGGATTACAGGCACACGCCACCACATCTAGTCTCAATCTCCACCACACCTGGTCTCACAGTCTCAGCACGCCATGGGGGCAGGGCCTGCATGGCACGCCAGGGATTGAACCACAGCTGCTGCACTCTGCCTAAGAAGGTGCTTTAGTCTGCTGAGCTATCAGGCTGGCCTAGTTCTGCTAATTTTTTTTTTACTAGCTTTGGCTACCTTAATAGTGTTCACTTCATTTGAGTTTTTAACCTTGCTTTCTCCTCCAAATTATGCCCATTGTTGTTAATACTTTAACTCATTATGTAATAAAAGATGTCACATATTTGCCTCATATTACCTGTTAATTCAGCCTTGTATTTGAGCTCCCATAGATCAGATGTTTTTATTAGATTGCACTGAATACAATATCATGAACAAGTATGTTTCTTAATACCAGAACTAAAGATGAAGACTTTTGCCTTTTTACCTTCTTGGAAACAGCAGATGTGGCCTTGTTACAGTCCTCATGTTTTTCTGCTTCCTCACCTTTTTCTCACCAGGTCCCACGTCCTGATGGAAAGCCTGACAACCTTGGCCTGTTGGTACTGGATGAACCTTCTACCAAACAGTCAGACCCGACAGTACTTTCTCTCTGGTTGACAGAGAATTCCAAGCAGCACAACATCACAGTAAGATCCTGGCCTCCTACCAGGGCCCCACTGGAGACGGTGGGCAGGAGCAGAGGTCTTGCTGGCCTTTCACAGCTGACCTGGTTTCTATCAAAAAGGGTCATGTGGCTGTAGGCCAGCCCTATTTCTTAACATCTTTATTTTGTTTTATTTATTTTTTCTTTCTTTCTTTTTTTTCCCATAATTTTATTGAGAAACAAATAGAAATGAGACAGTTTCAAACCAAATTGGTAGGACAGTTTCAATAATTAACACATTGCATACATTCTTCCTAGTGGTTATTAACATCTTTATTGAGAAATAATTACCCTAAAATTTACCCCTTTAAATTGATTAATTTGTTAGCTTTTCATATATTCATGGAGTTTAGTATCATCATTGCTATCTAATTTAATAATTTTCATTGCTCCAGAAAAAAACCCCTGTAGGGCCGGAGAGATGGCTTAGTGGAATAAGCACTTCCCTGGCAAGTGCAAGGGCCTGAGTTCAATCCCTGTTCTGCCCAAAAAAAAAAAAAAAAAAAAAGAAAAAGCCCCTGTACCCCTTTCCTTCCTCCTAAACCTTTTAATGGTGGATATTATGCCATTGTTGTGGATGTACCACATTTTATTTATTCATTCACCATGTGCTTGCACTTTTGTTTCTTTTATTTTTGGTTAAAAAGTTCAATGCTATAAGTCAATTCTCTTATTTTTTATTTTTTAGCAACATATGAAAGTGAAAAGCCTGGAAGATGCAGAAAAGAATCCCAAAGCCATTGACACATGGATTGAGAGCATCTCTGAGTTACACCGCTCTAAGCCCCCTGCGACTGTGCATTACACCAGGTGGGAGATACCATGTTTGGCCACCTGGGAACCACTGCTCCTGAGGAGAGGCCTAAAGTTGGGGGCAAATACAATCAATCTGAGGGCCTGAATATAAAGTATACTTTTAACTACTGTTTAGAAATTAAAAAGTTGATGGCTGCTGGCTTATCAACATAAAAATTGAAATTTCTCTGGTATTCTTACTTAGCCAGCCCTTGCAAACCCATGCCCTGTGTAAATTTGGTTTGTATGGTCTAGGGTCTCTTAAAATTTAAGGTACCAGATTGAGGACCTCTTCTTATTCTAGAATATCCTGACACACAGGTTATTGATGTCATTAGTCTAGGTTTCCTGTTCATATGTACCTCTGAACTTTCAGGCCCATGCCGGATATTGACACACTGATGCAGGAATGGTCCCCAGAGTTCGAAGAGCTTTTGGGCAAGGTGAGTGGAAAGTAGCAGGAGGTCAGAGCGTGTGGCATTTATTATAGGGCCTAGTATCTTCTTCTATCATTATTGCCACCATTGACTTTTTTGGATGCTGGGAATTGAACTTAGGCCTGGACATGCTGGGCAAGTGTTCTATCACTGAGCTGTGTGTCCTCAGCTCACCTTCGAAGCAGAACACATACACAATTAGAAATGTACAGGCATCCATTAGTGGTGATCCACTTCCACCTGCTGAGCATCCATGTGTAACCAGCACACCAGATTAGTGCACAGCAGAGCAACCCTCCGGGCTCCCACCTCCCAAGGTAACCATTGTCCCAGATTCTAGGTTTGCCTACTTCTGTACTTTCTTGCTCTCTTTTTTTTTTTTTTTTTTGGCAGAACCAGGGATTGAACTCAGGCCCTTGCGCTTGCCAGAGAAGCGCTTATTCCACTGAGCCATCTCCCCGGTCCCTCCTGTACTTTCTCTTAATTCAAACATACTTTTTATGTTTGTCTGCGTGTTCTTACTATTATGAGAGATCCATCGATACCCTTTTGTGTGGTTCATTTGTTCTGATAACTGCATGTCATTCTGTCATTTGGTACATGTGTATATGACAACTTGTGATAGACATGCGAATAGTTTTTAGTTTTTGGTTAGTGCAGCGGTGCCACTACACTGTCTTAATGCGTATCTTTGATGCACACATATACTTCGTTTATCATTTTAGACTCAATCTCTTCAGGAGGAGATATTTATGCTGTTAAGAAACTGATGTCCCACTTATAACTATTCCTTTTTTCTTATCTGTGTTTGGGATTAAACCCAGATCCTTACACTTGCTGAACAAATGTTTTACCACTGATCTATATCCCCAACCCAAATTACTCCAAATTTTAAAAAATACTCAAAAGTAAACTGGTTATGGTGGCACCTATAAGGAATCCCAGCAACTGGGAGGCTGAGGCAGGATGAGCACTGCTAAGTTCAAAGCCAGTCTGGGCTACATTGTGAGTTCAAAACCAGCCTGAACTTGTAGTGAGACTGTCTTAAGAAAAAAAAAAAAAAGGGCCGGGGAGATGGCTCAGTGGAATAAGCGCTTCCCTAGCAGGTGCAAGGGTCTGAATTCAATACCCGGTTCCGCTAAAAAAAAAAAAAAAAAAATTCAAGAAGATTGCTAAGATTTTTTTGAAAATAAATTGCAAAACTTTAATGGAGCCAGACATAGTAGTAGAAGATCTTGAGTTCAAGGCCACCCTGAGATGCATAGAGATTTCAAGGTCAGTCTGGACTACATAGCCAGACCCTGTCTCAAACAAGAGACTGGGGAGATAGCTCAGTAGGATAAGTGCTTGCCTGGCAAGCACAAGGTCCTGAGTTCAATCCCTAGTTCCGCAAAAAAACAAAAACAAAAACAAGCGAACAAAACCCACAATAAAACTCTTTTACTAGAAAACATAAAAGGGACAGCAAGATAGCTCAGCAGGTTAAGTGCCTGCTTAGACAAGCGCAGGGACGGGGTTCGATCTGGGGCATCACAGGCCACCCTGGCCCCATCCTCGGGGCCACTGAACTGGTTATGGACGTGGTGGTGCACGCCTGTAATCCTAGCACTGGGGAGGCTGAAAACAGGAGGATCACTATGAGTCTGAGCTGCGTAGTGAGACCCTGTACCAAATACATAAATTAAAATTTAAAAACATAAAATGAGCTGTAAATAACTGAGGTCTCGGACTATGCTCTTTGATAGAAGTGTTCAGTTTTAAAGAGTTTTCTATCCTCTGTAAGATTATGTGTCATGCCATTTCCATCAGAGGTTTTACTGTATTTATTAGAAATTGAAAAGTTGTTAACAAAGTTAATACGCAAGAATAAATTTTGTAAGCTGAACATAGCAGTATATGCTTGTAATCTCAGTACCCAGGAGACTGAGGCAGAAGAGCCTGTGTTCAAGGCCAGCTAGGACTTGTCTCAAAAATAAATAAACATTTAACACACCATAAACATTTTAGGGCAAAAAAAGGATTTGTCAAGGCTGACCAAATAGCTCAGCAGATTAAAGCACCTGCAAGCAGGTGCAGGGGCCAGGGGTTCAATCCCCAGGCCTGCTGTGCCAGCTCTGCCCTCAGGGTGTGCTGAGACGGCAGTAGTGGTAATTCCAGCTCTTGGGAGGCTGTAAACAGATGGATCACTATGAGTCCAATCTAGTAGTGAGACCCTGAACACCCTGTAGACCCTTCCCTAAAATAAAAAAAAAAAGGATTTGTCCATAAAATGTCACATTATAAAAGTATACAGTAGTAAGTAGCACATGCCTATAATTACAGCAGTCAGGAGGCTGAAGCAAGAGGATCACAGTGAGTTCAAGGCTAGTCTGGGCTGCATAGGAAGATGAGTGTGTCTCAAAAAACAAACAAAATATAGTAAATAATACAGTACTAGCATGGAGCCAGGCTTGATGGATTATGCTTTTTTTTTTTTTTTTGGTGGAACTGGGAATTGAACTCAGGAGTTTGCACTTGCCAGGGAAGCACTTATTCCACTGAGCCATCTTTCCAGCTGGATATTGCTTTTAATCTGCTAATGTGGGAAGGTCACAGGTTGGACTCGAACCTGGTAAGTTTACCAAAACCGTGTTTCAAAAAAGGAGTATGAGGCTGGGGAGATAGCTTGGCAGTCTAAGCACCTGCCTGGTAAGTGCAAGGACCTGGTTCGATGGCCAGTGCTGCATGCCGTGCTGGCCCAGCGCCAAGCCTGCCACCGAAACTGGGCATGGTGGCACACACCTGTAACCCCAGGCTGAGAGGAGGATCACTACGAGTCCCTTGCTGCATAGCAGAGACCCTGTATCAAATAAATAAAAGGTTAAAAAGTGTGGAGGCTGGGGATGTAGCTCAGTAGTCCAGTGCCTGTCTTCTAAGTGTAAGGCCCTCAGTTCAATGCCTGGTACCAAAAAGAAAACAGTAACAAAAAAACAAAAAAAAAGCCCCTTTGAAAAAAAGAGTATAGATGGAGCTCAGTGCAAAGACCCCTGAGTTCAAGCCTCAGTACTGAAAAAAAAACCCACAAACCTGGCATGGGAATAGACATACCAATCAGTGGCGTATAATAAGTCAGAAACAAACCCATGTATATGTGGGAGTTTGGTATAGAAGAAAGGTGTTTTTCTGTGGCGTTAGAGATTGAACCCAGGGACTCATGTATGCTAGGGTAGTGCTCTTCAACTGAGCTACACACCCCCAGCCCTTGATCCTAGTTAGAATAGTTAGATTGGAGTATATCCACCCAGTGAAATGCTGTGAAAATGAGTATTATTTGGTGTTATTTTGCACTACTATAAATAAATTATATACACATTGCAGGTGTGGTGCTGGGATTGGAACCCAGGACCTTGTGATGCAAGGCCTCTGCCACTGAGTCATATTCCCAGCCCATAATGGTATATTGTGAAATGAAAAAAATGAGTTATAAGGGGCCAGGGAGATGGCTCAGTAGAATAAGTGCTTCCCTGGCAAGCACAAGGGCCTGAGTTCAATCCCCGATTCCGCCAAAAAAAAAAAAAAAGTTAAAAAAAAAACTATGTGCATCTAAATTTTTAAAAAACAAAAAATGTTTTAAGCCAGTAGTTTTTAAATTTACAGTATGATTTGTTTAAATCTGGAGTCTATCACCTGAATGAGATGCTCTATTTTCTCTGTTCCTATGGTATTCTAGAACTTTTCACATTAGAACAAGTCACTAAATATCTAGCCATAAACCTGGGATGATTCTTCATGATGCACACTAGAAGACAGCCTATTGGTGTGTTTTATTTGCAAAATCTTTTGGCCTTAATAGATCATCTACAACTTTTTCTTTTCTTTCTTTTTTTTTTTTTTTTTTGTGGTACTGGAGATTGAACTCAGGACCTTGTGTTTGCCAGGCAAACGCCTATTCTACTGAGATAACTCCCCAGCCCTGGTCATCCACTACTTTTGCCATTCATGAGTATAACTGATCTAGCCTATTGATGGAAATTATATTACTATGCAAACTGTATTAGTTTTCAAGGGCTGCTATAACAAAATGCCATAGACTTGGTTTAAACAACAGAAACAGTTTTTCACAGTTCTGGAGGCTAGAAACCTAAGATCAAATTGGCAGGGTTAATTTCTTATGGAGTCTCACTTGTCCATTTTCTTTTTGTCTTCAGTCTTCAGTTCTGTATGCCTCTGTCCTGATTTCTCCTTGGAAGGACACCAGTCATACTGGATTGGGGCCTACCTCAGTGACCTCATTTCCACATAATTATTTCTGTAAAGACTCTATCTCCAGGGACCGGGAAGATGGCTCAGTGGAATGGCAAGCACAGGGGCCTGAGTTCAATCCCTGGTTCTGCAAAAAAAAAAGACTATCTCCACATATAGACATAATTCTGCAGCCCGAGGGTGAGACCTCAACACAGGAATTTGGAGGCCCCTGTGCCATTCAGCCATTACTCCTGCCTTTTGCTAGAAGCTCTTTGCCCACCGGAAATGGTGCTGGGTGCACTGACACCTGAGCCTTTTTAATGCAGGCCCTCTATACCCTTGCAGGTGAGCCTGCCCACCGCGGAGATGGACTGCAGCCTGGCTGAGTACACTGATGTGATCTGTGGTAAGCTCCTCCTGCCTTTCCCAGCCCACCTCAGTAGCTGCACTCTAGGCTTTTGCAAGAGCTCGCTGACTCTGGGAAAGTAGCATTGAGTTTCCGTCTCTGCTGTAAGGCAGTTGTGCTGTGTGCAGCTCTCCAGAGGGGTGCTCAGGCGTCTGTGACTACTCATGGGGTGTTTAGCCTCAGGTCACAGTCAACCCATCTGGGAGGAGACTGACTGTGCTAACCAGAAAGGTCCCCAGTTCCCAGAGTCGATCTGGCTCTGTTCCTGGGAGTTGTTCTTCATTTCAGCTATCTTGGACATTCCTGTTTACAAGAGTCGGGTTCAGTCCCTCCACCTGCTGTTTTCCCTCTACTCAGAATTCAAGAACTCACAGGTGAGACACTCAGGAGAGGTTGATCGAGCTATAGTAAAGAATCTGCAGGTCCGGGGCCTGCTCTAATTGTGTCCTGTGGCAGTGGAAAGTGTCCCTACCTAGAGTTACCACCGCAGTTCAATAAAAAGAATGGTAGTAGCTGGGCATGGTGGTGCACACGTGTAATCCCAGCATTCCAGAAGCCAAGGCCAACCTAAATAAGAATGGCACAGGTGGCAGGGCCTCGGATGAAGACCTACAGAGGATACTCATGTTTAGAGGAGACTCAAGTGGCCTCATGAGTGGAATAAAGAAATAAAAAAGGGATTATTTCAGAAAGAGGTGGGGCAAATTTCTAGCTATTTTTCAAAGACAGCACCAAGGAACTGGTTTGGAAGTAGAATTGGGAGAAAATTGGAGTTTAAAGTGTTCTAAAATGTAGCAACTAGCACAACCCCTATACTTGGCATCCCTCTCCTCCTCTTTTTCCTGACAGCACTTTAAAGCTCTGGCTGAAGGCAAGAAAGTATTCACGCCTCCATCCAACTGTACCTCCCAAGCTGGAGATGCAGAGACTCTGACCCTCAGCTGAGACCCGGAGCCTGTGTGGAGTCTGAGATGACAGATCCTTGTCAGCCACCTGGCACCAGCCTGCTCTGCAGCGAGGCTGGGCCTGCACTGTCCTGCACCCTCCCTCCAGAAAACACTTCATGTTTGTTGGGCTCTGCCTGACTCCAACTGCTTTAACAGGATGGTTACACATCCACTCCACTGTGGGGGTTGGAGTTAGAAGACAAGTTTTGAGATCCCACAGAGCACAAATTGGAGGAAAGCTTAAGAGATTTATTTGGGGGACAGGGATGGAATTATTTCCTTTCATTCTTTTGTTTTCTTTTTCTTTTTTTTTTTTTTTCAGGTGGTTTCATTATGTAATCCTCTTGTCTCAGCTTCAGCTTTTCTTTCATTCTTACAGTTAGTTGGCAGCAATTTTACAAATAAAATGCTGTGTCAGTTTGTGATACATATATATAGATGTACGGGCCAGGGAGATGGCTCGGTAGAATAAGCGCTTCCCTAGCAAGCACAAAGCTGAGTGCTGAGTTCCGGTTCCGCCAAAAAAAAAAAAAAAAAACATATAGATAGATAGATAGATAGATAGCTGCAATTCCTGGCTCATTACTTCCTTTGCCTTTATTTCCTAGGTGACCAGAATAACGTTGGGGCCCTACAGGCCTCAGAAAGGCCCAGTGCTTCTGACCTTCTGCCTCCTTTCACCTTCTCCCTTCTTAGTTCTCAAGGCAGGCCACGGAAACAATTTTTCAGGAAACTCACTCAGGTCCCCTTCTGTCCCTCTCTCGGGCAGATGCTTTCTTTCCCTCAGTAAATAAATTTTGCTCTTAAAAAAAATTAATCTTGGGGGCCAGGGAGATGGCTCAGTGAAATAAGCGCTTCCTTGGCAAGCACAAGGGCCTGAGTTCAATCCCTGGTTCCGCCAAAAAAAAAATTTTTAATCTTAAATTCCTCTGACCTACCTTGCATGTAGTAGAAGTTGAGGACCCCCCTTCCATTTCAGAAGGGTTTCTGCCACATACTCTCTAGGAAGCAGTACTGAAGAATCTCATCAGACAAGCCTTATTGGCTTTCTCAGCCCAGCATTAGATCACATGCTTTGTGTCTATTCCCATTTCTTTTTTATTTTTAGACAGGGTTTCACCATGTAGTTCAGGCTGTCCTTAAACTCCACTTACATAGCCCAGGCTGACCTCAAATTCACAGCAATCCTCCTGCCTCAGCCTTCCCAGTTCTGGAATTACTGGTGTGCCACCACGCCCGACTGCATGCACATTTGAACCATGCCTATGCAGTGGAGTCTCCAGGTAGCTCCAAAGGCCATGGTTCAGAGAGCTTCTGGAGAGCCAGGTCCATAAAGGTTCCTAGGTGACTGCTTAGAGGGGGCATGGAACCCTGCACCCTCCCCCGCAAGTCCCCACCCCGCCAAGTGTGCATCTTACTTGTGCCTTTCCCAGCCAGTGCTGTCTTGAGTTGTATGAGCTGTTTCAAGCAAATCAGTTGAACCCAAAAAGGGGGCTGCAGTAACCCAGATTTACTTCTGCACAGAAGCACAGGTGAAACCAGCTGGGGCTTATGTCTGGCAGCTGCAATGGGGGCATGTTTTTGGCGTCTGAGTCCCCAGCTTCGGGGTCCCATGCTGTCTCAAGGTAGTGTCAAATGTGTTAGGAGACTTGCCTAGAGTTCAGTGCTGCAGAATCCATTGCTTACTGGTTGAGGGAATCATCTTTCCTCCCAGAATCTCATTTTCTGAGGGTCTCTGTGCAGGGAATGCTGCCTCCCTTCTAGTGCTCCTGTCTGGACCCAAATGACCCTGCTTTTGCAGTAATCCAGGGAGAGATGAGTGTGGCGTGCCACAGAGTGGTGCTAAGGAGAGATGGATAGACTTGGGACATACTGTAGAGCCAGGAAATCTGTAACCATGCAAGTGATTTCTGTTAGTCATTTCATGGAAGAAACTGATCACAAAAGTGTTGGGCATGGTAGCGCACCCCTGTAATTCCAGCACTTTGGAGGCTGAAACAGGAGGATCACTGAAGTTTGAGACCAGCCTGGGCTACGTAAGCTAGTTCAAGGCCAGCATGAATTGCACAGCAAGGCCCTGTCTCAGAAAAAAACAGTAAAGTGTTGGCAAGGGCTAAAGGAGAAAGGATGATGGAGGCTACTGAAGACACATGACAGTGACAGGTGAGTCTGCAGAGGTGCTGCAATAGAGATCTGCTGTGGCCAGGTCTTGAGTGGCTGAGGTGCCACGCTTGGCCCTGCTGAAGACCACCTGCCCTCACTCCCACCACTGCAGTGAAGGGGAGCAGAAAGGAACAGCAAGCAGGGGAATCTGGAAAATCCAGCACTACAGGCAGAATAGAATTTGGTGCTCTGGAAGTCCTCAGCCTCATCATTTTGCATTTTCCTGGAGACGTCCCTGTGTAGGCTTGAAGGAAGCCTGGGTGACTATGCTGAAATGTCACTGGATACACAGGGTGCAAGCTAATGCCAACAGCCTGGATGGGGCGCTCAGCAGGGCTGTCTGTTGCCGTGCTTCACATTCCCTTCTGAGGCAACAGTAAGGGACCAGGCAGAACCCCAGAACTTGGTGAGACCCTGGCTGTGGCCCTGGAAGAGATCAAGGATGATGCCTATGTATTTCTGGCTCAAGCCACTGAATAGATAATGGAGCCACGTATACGGGGAGAAATCAGCAGCAATTGGAGGGGGAGGACAACATTAAGATGCTACGTGACCAACCTTTTATTTTTAATATTTTAGGGAAGAGTCTACAGGGTGTTCAGGGTCGAGATCAGACTCAATGATTCGCCTGTTTGCAGCCTCCCAAGAGCTGGGATTAAAGGCGTGTGCCACCATGCCCAGTCATCTCAGCACTGAGATGAGGGGTGGGGCCGGCGTGGAAGGTCCGGGGATCAAACCTCCTGCCCCTGTGCCTGCAATCTGCTGAGCCTTTTGGCTGGCCCTCAACTTTTTTTTTTTTAAACCAACCTGTTGTTTTTTGGGTTTTTTTTTGGCGGAACCCAGGGATTGAACTCAGGCCCTTGCTCTTGCCAGGGAAGCGCTTATTGTACTGCGCTGTCTCCCTGGCCCCAAACCAACGTGTGTGTGTGTGTGTGTGTGTGTGTGTGTGCGCTGCTTGTACTACGCTGTCTCCCTGGCCCCAAACCAACGTGTGTGTGTGTGTGTGTGCGCACGCTGCTTGTACTGCGCTGTCTCCCCGGCCCCAAACCAACGTGTGTGTGTGTGTGTGTGTGTGTGTGTGTGTGTGTGTGTGTTTGCAGAACCAGGGATCAAACTTGAGACCTTGGGCTTGCCAGGCAGGCACTTAATGATACTGAGCTATCTCCCTAGCCCTATGTGTGGTTTTTGAGACAAGGTCTCACTATGGAGTTCAAGCTGGCCTTGAGCTCACTGTGTAGCCCAGGCGACTAGCCTTATATATTCACAGTGCATAAACAGACAGGGGAGGGATGGATTCTTACGAATTGTCCAATCAGTTATAATCACATTGTACTTGCACATGTAGAGCTCTGTACAGCTCATAGTTACATGCAGTCATACTGAGGATTTTTTTTTTTCATACTGAGGATTAAACCCAGAGTCTCTAACACTGAGCTGTGTCCCCAGTCCCCCGCACCCTTTTTATTTTGGTGGAACCGGCGATTGAATTCAGGTCCTTGCGTTTGCCAGAGATGCGCTTATTCTACTGAGCCATCTCCCTGCCCCCCCCCACCCTTTTAAATATTTTATTTTCCCTAAATTTTAAGACAGGGTGTAGCTTATTCACTTAAGTTGGTCAGGGCAGTTGTGCACTTGTCCTCCTGCCTCAGCCTCCCAATGCTGGACTTACAGGTGTGCTACCATGCATGTCCAGTTTATACTGTGTGATTTAAATACTTTAAAGGTTGGGGGTGTAGCTCAGTGGTAGAATGTATATTAGTATGCACAAGGCCCTGGGGTTGATCTCCAGCACCACCAAAAATCTTTTTTCATTTAAAAGATATATAAAGAAACTAAATATATTCATTCAGTCAAGTTTATTGATTTTACTGTGTGCTTAGCACTGTACTAGGCAGTAACATGAGAAAAACTACAAAACCACCAGGGAAAAATATATTCTACACTCTAATTTCCATGTTGCTTTTTAAAAGCATTCTTAGGTCATTTTGGAGTATGCAGTCTCCCTGTTTTCTGTCTTCCTAAAGTTTCTGGAACTGTTGCTATGCATCGTCTTTAGCCCCACCTAAAGAACAGAGGGTGGGTAGGACAAGTGGCTTCGGTGGATGGCCAGCTAGGGGTTGGTCAGAGTTGGGGTCCCCTGGCAGGGAGACGTGCTGAGAGGGAAACCGTCCACCTGAGGGCTCAGGACACTCACAGTGAATCAGAGGAAGGCCAAACCTGGGGGTCCCTTACCCCCTCCCCAAGGGGATGTGCTTAAAGTGCTAACACTATAAAAAATGATACATAGTTACATGCAGTCCTGGGTGCCACCAGACTTGTCACTTCTCTCTTCCTCCCAGACTTGTGCTAAATCCAGGCACTGGCACTACTGGGTATCAGGCCAATGCAGGAGTCTAGTGCCAGGTAAGGAAACGAGAAGGTCCAGCGTATAACCTACGGTGTCACAGAAGATGCAGGGCCAGAGGCACCGGGTGAAGGGCAGAGAGTTACACGGCAAAAGAAGCTAGTTTGTGCTTGGCGGCACCCTGGGCCACAGGTTGGTTCTTGTGCAAAGGGCAGTTTGGTTCTATACATCTAGCAGGGTAGTGCATTCTCCCTGAGGGAACAAGGCTGCATTGCGTAAGAAGGACGTTCAAGACATGCAGGGCCCTCCCTGTCTATAAGCAGCTATCCTCCATGCCTGCTATGCAAGGTGCTATTGAGTATGGGTGTGGGGCATGTAGCCAGCCATGCCACACTTGGGTGCTGGGTGACACCTGCTCACGCCTGGCCAGAGAGTTCTCTCTGCCTGGGTGCAGTCATCACCTGCAGGCCCCCACCTGAGTTAGCATAAGAGGCTTAGTTCTGGCTGGCAGCCCTGACAGGGAAACCTGACTCTGAGTCGGATCCCATGTGCTTGACCCCACATTACCCCAGGCAGCAGGACCAGCCAGTCCAGTGGCACAGCCTCTTCGTGTTGGCCATAGGCCTAGGCAGAGGATGTGCTGAGGAACGAGGTGGGTGCTTGGGCTGGCCAGGACCAAAAGGCACTCCTGTTCCACCTGCTGCTCAGAGCCAGATCTCATCACTGCTCACACTGGACACTCGATAGATGTATCCCAGCATCGGGAGGCGGATGAAACCTGTGGGGTCAGAGAGGCCCATAGACTCAGTAACCTGGCTCCTGGGACCCAGGGAAGCACTTTCTGCCCACTGGCATTCAGAGACCTTTGGCACAAGCACAGGGCTGGGGCATAAGAAGGGCAGCAGGCCTGCTCCCCAATACCTCGGCTGGTGAGGAGGCCACCAGGCTCAGGTTCCAGAAGTTCTGGCCGGCTGCTGTTCCGAGCCATTGGCTGGTCTGTTGGTTTCTCAGCTGGGTTACAAACAGGGCGGTGCCCAGGATGAAGGGTATGGCAGGTGGAGCTTTACCCCCTTAAGAACTAGAGTCTCTGTTCCTCAGAAGCACTTTGAAGATAAGGCAGGGGCAAACACCAGGGTCCTAATCATACCTCTGGAATCTGGAGCTAAGTCATTGAGCTGAAGGTTGGACGGGAGGGACATGTTCTCCCGTGGCAGGCGCACATTGTTGAGTTTCAGGTTGTTCGAGTCACTATAAAGTAGAAAGAAGGCTGAGACACACTAGGCACCAGCAGACACAGGCTCCTGGTTTGAAGCCCATCCCAGAACTAGAAACCCCCAGTTCCCACCTGTCCCCATTCTGCATTTGAGTTTAGCCCATCCACTCAGCCCTAGGAGGAGTTACCTAGAGATCAGAGATGGGCGTCGGGAGGGGCCTGAGGAGAAAGAAACCACGTCACTGATTCTTGTGTGCCCACCCACAGTGGGCTCTGCCCCCTGCTCTTTCAGACCTGGACCCCGCTAGCAAGGAGTCTCAAAAATGCCCAACCCTGGCCTTGAAATCAGTGCCTTCCCCTGCTACCTGGGATGTCTTGCCAGCAACCACATCTTACAAGAAGTAGCAGAAATGACCCATTCTATCCAGCTGCACTTGCTAGTCACCCCCAACCTCATCGCCACTCCTCCAGCCACCCCCTGACCCCACTGCCCCTGGCCCTACCTTTGATCTTCTCTTTCCTGCAGACCAGGCAAGCCACCAAGGTGCTGAACCCCACTAGGGTGCCCAGGGCAAGCCCTCCAGCCACAACGATGCCCAGCAGTGGCACTTCTACCCGGGTGGCCAGGAGCCCTGCAGGTTGTCCACTGTTAGTCTCCAAGTGGGCAGTACCCCAACACTGAGATATCATAAGCCAAACTACTGTCCTTGCCTGAGGTGACTAAGGACAGCTGCTCCACAAGACCCACCCCAAGGGCAGTGAAGTCCTCCCATTTCTGTACTGTATCCTTGTGCCCACCTAAGGCTTTGCTAAACCAGTTGGTAGCACTGCTCACCTGGGCCTGGAAGTGAGGCACTGGTGATACCGATGTCATTGGTGGCTACCACCGAGAGGTTGTGTGCCAGGCTCCGGAGCTGCAGCTGCACTGTGTGGTTGGTGAGCCAGGGGTAGTTCTGAGCATCCAGCACCAGAAAGTCAGAGGTGTTGACAGTCACTGGCCCATTCTGGTCAATCCAGGTGACATTGGCAGGTGGATTAGCACGTACCAGGGCAAATAGGACCACCAGGAGGCCTGGGCCCTCAGCTTCCTGGTACTTAGCCCCAACCTGGGCAATTTCTGGTTTAACTAGTATAAAAAAGAGAATAATATGTGCTGACCACAGCCTCATGTACCCCTTCTTCCCAAATCCAGATGGGACCCAGCAGTCTGAAGTGCTTCAGAATAGGCATTGAGATAGGACGGTTGTGCCCACCAGAGGAAGCATTTCATAATGACCACTAGGTAGGCCTGGATAACCCACACACCGTGGGCCACCTGCCTTGTAACTGTTAGAGAGATACTAAAGTGATAGGCTGCAGTGCTTAACCTCTTGGTACCTCAGTTTTCACATTTGTAAAATAGAGATAAAAATAACAGTCCCATGCTAGAGTTATGTGAGGATAAAGCAAATTAGTATTTACAAAGATCTTAACATGGCCAACATGCTGAACACCTGCTGCATGGCTGCTGGGGGTCCAGGAACCTCTCCCCTTGCCCTCCTCGGGGTTACTCACATTGCACATTGAGGATGACAGAGGCGTTGGCTGGGCGGCCACTGCCAGGGTCCTGCAGGGAGCAGTTGAGCTCATGCTGAGCCCGCTGGGCAGTGACAGTAAAGGTGCTGGTGCCTCCAGAGAAGGCCTCCCCACCTACACTCAGCAGTCTTGAGGTGCTGGCTTCCTGCAGCTGTCCATCCAGGTACCAGGCCAGTCGGGGGATACTAGGGCCCCCTGCCACCCGACAGGTGAAGGCATGGCGTTCATTCTCCCGAAGTGCCCTCTGGGCCCAGGTGTGACCATCAATTTGTGGTGCCAACTCCCCCCAACCTGGAACACAGCAGGCAGCCTCTAGGAGGGGCTGAGGAGGCTGACACTGTTGTGGGTCTAGGATGAGGTCCAGTTACAAAGGGGCAGCAGCAGGCAGAGAGACAGGGTTCTCTTACTAAGAACCGGCTGGACCTCGGTTAAGTGGGAAAAGGAGCCTGGGGCCTGTCCCACCTAGGGAGGGCTCCTGATGGAGGGTGCAGGCAAGGAGAGGAAGGATGGGGCTCTGGCGCCCAGAAGTGCTTGGCCAAGGAACCCACAAGAGTGTACCTGAGCTCAGAAGGGCTGGCAGGAGCAGCAGAGTGTGCGGAGGGATGGCTGGGCCTGGAGGTAGCCCCATGGTGGCCAGGGCTTGGGCCCAGGCCGCTGAGAGTAGGGGGTGGCCTCGGTGTCAGCAAGAGGAAAGCAGGCAGGTCTAGTAACTCCGCCAGAGATTTACTCTCGAAAAACAAAAAGCAGCACACACGGAATCACGACTGCCGACTGGCCCAGTGGCCGTGGCACGGACATGACGAGCGAGCCCAAAGGCACAGACCCACCTGGCACGTACGTGGGCACCTGCGGGCACAGAGCCCGGTACTGACTGCAGGGGACAAGCAGCACACACACGGAGATGCACACGAGGGGCGACTGCAGCCTCACTTTACCCTCCCCCTTCCCCCCACGCAGGTTCTGCACATACCCCTCCCCCAAACGGACTGCCCTTCTCCGACCCTGGCCTTTCTCCCTCCCATCTCTTGCCCTGTACCTCCTCCAATCCCGGTTGCTTAGGTGGTCCTGGGTCCAGGAGGGAACTCGTCCAAAAGTCCCACCACCACCCGCTCCCCCGTGCGGCTCACCTGGTTCTCTTGGGTAGCGCAGCCGAGCAACTGTTCAGGTCTGTTGAGCACCGCAGTCGGCGGCCAGGGCGGGGGCTGCGCCAGGCTGGACCAATCGATGCCCGACCTGGAGCGAGTGGGTGGCCGCTCCCCCCACCCGGCTCCCGCACTCCCACCTCCAACCCCCGCGGGCTGCCAGACTCCCCGACTCCAGTCCTCCCGGCGGGTCAGCCAGAGCTTGGGTTCCCGCGAGTGGGGGCGTAATAGAACGAGAGGAGGCGCAGTGGCTCGGCTTCGCAGCTTTATTGGTCGAGCCCCGCCCGCGCCTCAGCGGCCGTTGTGCGGGCCGCGCAGCTGCCCCATCATGTCTGCCAGCATGCGGTTGCACAGCGCGGCGTACGGGTTGAGCAGCACCAGCTGGCGCCGCGCGAAGGGGCTGCCCAGCCGCGCCGCGCGCTCGAAGTCCCTGCGGGCGTCGTCGTCCCGGCCCTGCAGCCGCGCCAGGAGCCCGCGCTGCACGAAGCCTTGGCGGGCGGCGCGGCCGCGGCCTCCGCTCAGCGCCACGGCGCGCTCCAGGTCCTCCAGGGCGCCTGCGGGCGGACACGCGCGGGCTCAGCGGCGCCCAAGCCCGCGGGACGGACGCCGCGCCTGCGGGACGGCTCTGGACGGTGCGGGACGCACGGCCATCCGAAGACAAACCACGACTCGGTAGGCTCGGCCGGCTGACAACTTTCCCGAAGAACGCGCTTCAGGAAGACGCGCCTTCGGGCGGTTGGGCCGCCTCGGAGCCTTGCTGGCGTCCAGGGAGCCTCCTGCTCCTTCCCAGCCCGCCCTTCCCGCTCCTGCGCCCGGCGCCAGACGTCCGAGCATCCTGCCCTCCGCTGTTTGGGTACCTAGTAAGTCTTCCCTTTGTCTTAAATTCTGCTGTTACCAGCCCCGCCCCAGGTCGCCGGCCGTTTCCAGGGCATTTGGTTCCCCACCGGGAGCTGCTGTCCCCTCGGCGACCTACTGGCTCCGCGGGAAGGCCGCCGAGCGGACTCCTAACTCATAGCTGCCCTTAGGAGATTTTCTGGACCTTTCGTGGACAGCGAATACACCCATTTCTACCTGCCGGCGCACTCACTAGCATAGTCGGAAGGCAGCCAATCAGAAGCTGTACCCAAGGTAGATAGGATACAGGACCACTTCGTTGAGCATCTGGGGCGCCCTTAATCTCAAGGTGTGGTCGAATCCACACAAATTGTAAGGCCTCCCCTACCATTTTCTTTTTTGGGAAACTCTGCCACCAACCCCTTCCACCTGACTCCTGATCCCAGGGATGGACCTGGGAACCCTGGGCAAGGGGTTGAGCGTTTCTCTCCAAAGCCTTGAGTTTTCCCTCTCGCTCGCCCTATTTGCTCTCTAGATTGATCATCCGAAAGGTTTGGCCCTGTGCCCTCTAGTGTTGGTTGGACGCCACAGTCTAACGCAAGCCTGAGGTCCCTTTGTGGACGAATGAGAGATCTTGGTCTCCTAGAGATGCCTTTTAGGAAGACGCTGAGGATAGACAGGACCCTCTACAGCTCTCCTACAATGTCCACTCCAGTTCATCCCTGGAATGCAGTCTCAAAAACTGGTCCATGAGTGAATTAATTTTCTAATGAATTTATTTATAGCTAAATGTGATTTAGGAGCTGAAGCCTGGTGGAGGTGGTCTCCCTTCTCTCTTGAGCTCGTTTCCCACCGCCATCCCATGGCATCCCTCTGCCGTGCAGTCCTGTCTTGGAGCCAGCGGACCGTGGGCTGGTGCTTTTTTTTTTTTTCCCCTCAGTTCTAGGGGTTGAATCCAGGGGCTCTGTACCACTAAGCTATATCCCAGCCCATTTAAAACTTTTACATTTTGAGACAAGAGTCTCAAGTTACACAGTGGGTCCTGTCTAGGCTCTTTTTGGTAGCAGTAATTGAACTCAGGACCTCACCCTTGCCAGGCAGCATGGGGCCACTGAGCTATATCCCTGGCCTATGAATGCTGTTTCCACACAAAAGTTATTTTTTTCTTTTTAAAGATGGGGTCTTGGGGCTGGTGAGATGGCTCAGTGGTCTAAAGCACCTACTTAGAACAAGCTTAGCAAAGCCCAGGGACCGCGGTTCAATCCCCCAGCACCGCATGCCAGCCAGCCCCGCCCCCTGGTGGGTTGAGCTGGCCACATACAGATAAATAAATGTTAAAAAAAAAAAAAAAGATAATTAACAACAACAGCAAAAAAGACGGGGTCTTGCTATGTAGTTCACGCTGGCCTTGAACTCACTATGTAGCACAGGCTGGCCTCAAACTTTCATTGATCCTCTTGCCTCAACCTCCCGAATGCTAAAATTACAGTTGTGCACCACCACATCGACCTTCACTCAAAGTATATGATTAAGAAAACTGAGGTTCAGAGTTTCGGTCACATGTCCACAAAGCTAGCAAGGGCTGTCTCAGAATTCAATATAGGTTTATCTAACTCGCAAGCCTTTGCCCTTATCCACTCAAGCACTGCTTCTCTCGGCCCCTACTGCTACTCTCTGAAACAGTCATGTTTGAGACATAGGCACAGACAATCATAGTGAATAGAATCATAGTGATTATTATTTTTATTTTTATTTATTTATTTTTGTGGAACCAGGGATTGAACTCAGGCCCTTGCACTTGTCAGGGAAGCGCTTATTCCACTGAGCCATCTCCCTGGCCCCGATTATTTTTAATTTTTCCCTTGCCAAAACCAAAGGGAGCTGAAAAAGTATATTTAGAAAGTTGTTATAGACTTAAATGGAGTAAATACTGCATCTCAGTTGGTCCTCTGAGTTTGGAAGCCTTATGTAAGAGGAGACCAGCACTGCAAGGGTGCCCAGCAGGCACTGGCGATGCCCCGCTGTGACTCAGCGCTCCTGCTCCAGCTAGAACTTGGTTCACAGAGCAAAGAACTGCGTCCCCGAAGTGGACCTGCTAGCAGTGTTTTGAAGCTTAGCTGGCTGGATTGCTGGCTGAAGTGCTGCCCCTGGAACATTCTTAAAGTGGGCTTAAGGTACTATTGCAGGCTTTGGGTGTTGTTTAAGGAGTACAAATACTACAGAACAGTCTAAGCTCTGTATCAGAATAGCTAGTTTAGAAATCCTATTCCTCACCTAAAGAAAAATGAATTCAAGTCTCTGAGTATCGCAGGGGCTAGGGGTTCGATCCCCAGGCCTGCCATGCCAGCCCCGCCCCTGAGGTGCACTGAGACAGTGATTGAGACTGGCGTGGTGGTGCGCACCTGTAACCCCAGCTCTTGGGAGGCTGTAAACAGGCAGATCACTACGAGTCCACTCTAGTAGTGAGACTCTGAACACCCTGTAGACCATTCCCTAAAATACAAAAAAAAAAAAAGTCCCTGAGTACCTCCTAGTAGCCAGTCGTAGTGTTAGGCAGTAGCTATAGAGAGGAACAAGACAACAGGTGTTCCCGTGAGAGACTCTTACCAAAACAGTACAGTGAGGTGAGCCCTTCGCTGAGGGAAACAGTGCACTGAGAGCATCTGAGGCTGAGTCTCAAATGGTTTAGCTGGGTGCAGTGGAGCACGCCTGTAATCCCAGCACTCAGGAGGCTAAGGCAGGAGGATCACTGAGTTTGAGGCCAGCCTAGGCTACATAGTGAGTTTGGGACCAACCTGAACTACATGGTGAGATGCTGTCTCAAGAAATAAAACCTAAAAGATTTTTTGTTTTGTATTTTAAGGAAGGATCTACAGGGTGTTTGGGATCTCACTACTAGAATAGACTCAGTGATCCGCCTGTTTACAGCCTCCCAAGAGCAGGGATCACAGGCACGTGCCATCCCACCCAGTCTCCCAAAAGATTTTAAGTTCATGGATGAAGGCCTCTAATAGAATCCCTGTGTTCATTTTCTAGATACTCATCTCTGAACGAGACCGTAATCCTGCTCAATGGCAATTATGCTGCTGCCCAAAAGAAAAGCTCGAAGACAGATACAACTGGAAATGAAAAGCATGCCGTCAAAGCAGAGGGGCTCTTCTGGGTCTCATGAATATCTGCTATAGGTTTTCTATGAAAGACTGTATTTCCAGAAATTAGGCCACAAATATTTTTGAGACGATTTTAACATACCAAGATCCTAGAATGGAATGCACCATTATATTAGTTAAGATAGGGGAGCTGTTGTAACAAATGGAAAAATAAATCCAAGGTAATTCCAGGTAGCAGAGTTCTACTTCAGGGGGGCTCTGCTCTGCACATCATTTAGGGACCTAGTCCCACGGGTATACCAAGAACTCTGGTAAGCGACTTCCGGAGTTGCCATGGATGTGGATACGTGGCCAGAGTAAGGGAAAGGACCTGCAGCACTAGCTCACCAGTTCCAGCCCATCAGTGCCTGGGAGGTGTGTACCACCCTGGCTCCCACATCTACTGTCTGATCTACCACTCAGTGGAGAGTTATTCAAATCCATCAAGTTCCCAACACAAAAAACCCCGGCCAAGGCTGACCTAGGTGACACAGGAAGTCATGAGAACATAAACTGTTTTGCACCAAGGCCCTAGGACAGGAAATTACTGCGAAAGACAGATGGACAGTGAAGCCAAAAATGAATGTTTGCTATGAGAATGTTTTTCCTCCTCAGATTTTAGGCCAGTGGCTTAGAAGATGCAGATGTTATTGCCTAGGCATTATTCTCTACATTTCCACCAGTGTGCAGGAGTATCTGCCTTGTCAGGATTATTTGGGTTCCCACTAGAACTGCTTCCAGTAATTTTCTGGCCCTTCATAGCTCTTCTAGCAGATTTCAGGGAGGGAATTTTATCTTCCTGAGGTTACTATGTGGTTCTCCTCTGACTTCTTCAGATGGGAAACAGCTGAGAGAGTAGCTGGCCCAGTGTGGTCAGGGTATGGTTTCTGGGTCCTGCTGCAAGACGAGCTTGTCTGCACCTTATGGAGCCCGGCCAGTGCTTCTGCTGAGGTTGCTGCCTGGCCACTCGCTAGCAGGTGAAGGCCACCTCCTGGAGCCAGGAGCCAGGCTCGGAAGATTTCTCCCCAGTAAAATAGAGGCAGCCGAATTTTTGTCACATTTCCTCTCTGGAGGAGATTCATGAATTTCTTTTTCTGAGAATCCCGTGACAGTTTTCCTATTTATTCTTTTCTGGTCTAAGATGTTTAACTTTGGTCTATTGAGTGTTTCAGGTTCATCTTCTTGGGCTTATGACAAGGAATTGCTTCAGAAACTTCACAGTTAGCTGGGTGTGGTTAACTGTGTAATCCCAGCACTTGGGAGGTTGAGACAGGAGGATCGCTGGGAGTGAGACCAGCCTGGAGACTACAAAAATGAGCACAGAGCCAGCCCAAACTGCATAGTGAGATCCTGTCTCAAAAAGCAAACGAACAAAACAGCCTGTGGATAGACAGAAAGGAATTCTGTATCTCCTTATGAATACTCTTTTTGCACTTGCTTCAGATTTCTTCTGGCATAGAGGAGCAACCCACTGGTTAGATTATACAAAAGCACTTGAAGCTCTGCACATCAGCTTCTGGCCCTCCTGTCCCAGGTTGTCACAATATGTGTCCAGTTTGTTGCCCACCATC